GTTCTGTCAGGGCTTGGAGCCATTTTATTTTGCAGTAGGAATTGATTGGCATCTCTGCGTGGTGCAAACCGTGAATGTGCTTGGCTACAAATGAAAAGGTTGGAAGTTTGAGTTTCCCCAGAGCTTCCTTGGGAGAAAGGCCCGGGGATATAGTGACAACTGAGCCACTAGAACCCTAGGGCTGAAGTTCCACTCTAACACACGTGGTCACCAGGCCCTGGAGTCCACACAACGGCAACGGGCAGTTAGGGATGTACTGGTGGCTTTGGATCACCAGGGAGTCCTGGACGGTGCAGGCAGTTCATGTGCTTGGCCGCTAACTGAGGCACCTTGGCAGAAATGCCTGGCCCTCTACGTCCAAAACACCAGCCGTTGACAACTCTGTGGAGTACAGTTCTACTCGGTGTATGTGGGGGCCCCATGAGTCAGAACTGAGTTGATGGCAACTTTCTTCTTTGTTTAATCATGAGAGGAAGTGTGATACGATTTATGACTTAAAAATATCCCTCTGTCTGCTCTGTGGAGAATGAACTTGAAAATGTATAAGAGTAGAAGTGGAGAGAACCCTTAGGACGCTAAAGACAGTATCGCGGGGAAATATGGTGGTGCGTGGATTAGGGCAATGGCGAACATGGAGGAAAGGATGTAGGTCCTAGTCTGCTGACCATTAGCACCTCGGAAGCAAAGTCTGGCAGCCTGCTTCCTAAAGGTCACCACCGTGAAAACCCTAAGGAGCCCAGTTCTGCTTCATGACACATGGGGTCACCATGAGGTGGCAATGACTCCACAGCAACTATCAACAACAACAAGTTGAAAGAGACCAAAAAGGACCTTCCTCTAGAGCTGATGCCCTGATTGGAACTTCTAGCCTCCAACCCTGTGAGACAATGCATTTCTGGTCTTGAAACCCACCCACTTGTGGTATTTTGTTATGGCAGCTGCAGGAAACTAAGACAACCACCAACAGCACCACTATCACCAGCATTACCGCTATCACCACCAACAGCAACATCATCTCCATTATCATCGCCATCATCACCAACATCACCACCTTCACCACCCCCATCACATCATCAACAGCAACATCATCACCGTCATTGCTAATAACAACAGCACCACCAGCATCATCACCACCAA